TAACAACACTACTTCATACGCAAAATGTTGTTATAAACACTAAAAACACTTGTACTCTTAAATAAAAATGTTACCTTTTGGTCAATACCCTCACCTGCGCAGAAGACAGTCCATTTTATCTTTATTGCATATTCAGTATTTACACCTTTTCATTAAAGCAGTGACAGCAAAAGTAACAGTTTCGAAAGAGTAAACTTGGTCACCACTTTTTTGTCAATCCTTCAAACTATAAAAAATATTTCTTACCCACAGTAAATTAAATATATTACTGGAAGCTGTAGCTAGTGAAACCAGGCATGTTTTCCATTGGCAAAGAACGTTCCTTTCTTTTTTTTTTCGAAAGTATACAGTATGACAACAAGAATCTTTCTCAGTCAAATCTCTAACGTAGAAAACTGTAAGCCTTGTGTTATTGAACGAAATACTAATTTAGGATTTTGTTAAGTTTACCATAAAATAAATTTGGTGCTGATTGCTTTCTAAAACCTTGTGGCGTTCCTATGGAAAATGCCACGAAAATAAACGATAAAGACCAAACATGTTTTGTACTAATTTTCTTGAACCTCGCATAGATATACATATATGTATATATGTATGCAATTTAGATAAAATGATCCACTTTAGTTATGAAGAGTTAGCTTGTTTTTTACACTTCCACCCAAAATCACATATTCCACTCTTTCTTTACGGTAAGATTACGTTAAAAATTCGTATGCTACTTTAGTGCGTTGTGAGGCATTATTGTATTGGGTCAAGGATAGTTCTCACAATGAGGAAACATCTGATAGGGGTTATTAAGTACGCTAAGCACAATGGCAACTATCTGATACCGTAAGTTTTGGTGGGAGTTAGGTATTATGCCAGCTGTAGGGCCACTTACAACGTTAGGCTTGCCTGTTCATAGAAGGGAACCTAAATTCAGGGCTAGCTTTCATTTAAATTTTCCCCTAAAAACTGATGCCCTTCTGTTACAGTTATTTTAGAGTTCGAATCATAGGTGGTTCTACGGCTGCGTGAAATGCAGTGATCTCAACACAAATTTTATCAAATATTCTCCAGAATTCATCGT